TGGTTTCACAGGATTTAAAGTCACATTTTAAATTAAAAACCCATCATATAYGTTTTAGTCTTTTATACAAGCTTGTTGAGGGTTTTTAGCTCTCAAAGCTGTAGTTAATATTTTTGACGGTTTGTGTGAATCCATGCTGTTTTAGCTTATTACCTAAAAAAAACACTGCAGCTTTCATAGAAATATGCTTCTTTTAGCTCAGTAGGTCAGCTAAACTGATAATTATAGGCCCGCCATATGAAATAACACAATTACAATCAGCGTGTCGTTGTCACAGTTTTCTATTTTTAAGGACTCGTAACAAAAACCTGGTTCAGTTCATCAGCAACAAACAGAAGTCAGGGTTTTTAATAGACTGAGTGTGAAATAATGCGAGTGTATGCAGATGATGACATGGTTTTCTGCCTTTTACTTTTAAGTCTAAACTTAGTTTGGTTTTCAGATCGCTTTTAAGCTTTTGTTGAAAGAAACGGCAAGAAAATAAAATAAAAAAATCTGCAAATCTTGTTGGACGTTTTTTGCCCCCTTTTGACTTTTAGTCTAAGGTTGTGATTTTCTGTTTGCTTTTAACTGGAACCTATAATGGTTAAACAGAATCTGTTTGCAAATAGCTGATATTTGTGTGCCGTTTGTAATAAAATAAACCTATTTTGACTTTGTTTAGCACAAAAATTTACACAAAATAGTAGGTACAATCAGTAAAATGCTTTTTTTAGTCAGTTCAGAAGAACGTTTTYAAGAGAATTTAGCATTTTGTTTATTTTTCCGTAGTTTTAAACTTGTCTGAGGTTTTTGCTCATGGGGTTTAAAAACCCTTTCTTAAAATACAAACCTTTAATGTGCTTAAAATGTGTTTATTTCACAAACATGTTCTCACAATCTTTATCTTGTCTGAGAGTTAGGCAGACGTCAGTCGTCTCGGTGCGTTTCGGAGCACGTTGTTTCTCGTTATTTGTTGTTTACGGTCCTCGTTTCCACTCTGTTCCACTCTTCCCGCCACTCGTTGCTTCGTTTCTCAGTGACGGAAGGAAAGCAGACAGACCCGGCGAGAGAAAAAGTCCAGAAGCGTTTTGTGCCGTTCCCCCTCCTCTGCTCCCGCAGGTTGTTTTTTTTTTTTATACAGTGAATACGAGAAAAAAAACCAGAGAAGCGTTTCCCCCGTTCAGACTCCTCCGCACTCCTCTTCCATCCTCTCACATCCTTTTCATTCACACTTTTTTTTTTTAAAAATTCGGTTGTTTTCTCAAAGTTTGCCTTCTCATGCAAACATAACTGAAGCCACAGGTGAACCTGTAGGTCACGTCAGGATGTAAACTCTTAAATATTAAACTTATTATCATAACGAGCTGAGCTTTAACCTTCTGCCGCCCTGAAGCCTGAGGCCTCAGGGGTCGTTTACTTCTTATTTATCGTAAAAATATCCAGCAAAAAGTCAAACCAAAGGATTCGAACCATTTTAAATTGACGTCAACAAAATACGGACCACTTTAACAGCCTTTAGTGAGATTTCCAACTCACGTTCTGTCACTGTGCAACACGTGCAGAGAAATTCAGGTACGCTGCTCAGTTTCACTCATGTACATGAAAGACGTTGTGAGTGAAGCTAAAAAATAAAGTTCTGATCTGAATGCAAAGTTACGATGATGGCTTCTGGGTAGAAACTGTTCTCATCAGTTTAGTGGATTTGTTTTTAGTTAAAGAAGCAGGTTATGTTCTGGTGGAGCTGTCTTTAGAGACAGAGAGATGTGTCCAGCAGCTGCAGGACCGCTACTGAACCACACCAGGACCCCACGAGTCCGGACCGTCTCGACTGCAGAAAGTCATGAACGGACAGCAGGTGTGTCGGGGTTCGCCGGGGTTTCTTGATCGATCTGCCGGGGTTCATCTTTGTGAAATTAAAACCAGTTTTAATTAAAAACTTTTAATATTTGGTGTCGAATCCATTCAGTTTGAATGGAATGAGTTTATAAAACTTTTTGTCCACTCTGGAGACGTTAGTTTAAAAAGCCGAGGCCTCGGCTCATTTYAATGCAGAAACACTCACTGTATTTGTTGCCAGTAATTTCATTTTCATGTTTTTGCTTAAAAAWGATGGTATAAATAATGAATTAATTTAATTCACGTAACTTGATGCAGTTGAAAAACTCTTTAACAAATCAGGGGCTTCAGGTGCAGAGACATGTGCYGCTGCCAGCTCTGCTGGTCGGGGATTTTTATACAAGTTTTCACTTTAAATGGATCGACGTGGAGGGAGATGTTTATAAACTGACCGTAGTTTATGTTCATAACCCTTTCAAAATGAAATACCACAGCAGAAACAGACGCAGAGATACTTAAATTGTTTTAAAATCTTTTCAGTAGTGTATCAGAAAAAAAACACTTGGGTCAATATTAGGCACCGTCATAAAAAAGACAAAATGCATGTTCGTTTATCAAATTCTGGAGTTTTAACCGGTGTTTAAAGGCACAGTACGTAGGATTTATTGTTTTCAGCGACATCTAGTGGTTGAGTGGTTGAATCATCCTCCCTGGTC